AAAAATCAAATGGTCCGCCCCTAAGTAATACAAGTTTTGTTATAACTAGGGGTCTTAAAATAAAAGCCCAAAAGGGTTTCTAAAAGATCTCTAGCCCTACGTATAGATTATAAAAATGTAAATAGTTAAATTTTATTGTACTTTGGAAAATTGGGCAAAAATAAATAAATAAAAAAAACTAAAAAAAACTAGTCATGTTGGTTTGCGAACTTATTTTCAAACTTTCTGATTTTACGGGTATTACGCAGAAAAAAGTACCAAAAATAAGGAATTTTATTTGTTGTTTATCCCGAAAATATGAAAATATCCATTTTTCGTTTTTATATAACCATTGAGAATAAAACTAATATATATATATATATTCACAACAGTAAAAATATTTATATTTAGTATATAACATGAACAATATTGTTGAGCCTGTATTAGGTGTAACAATATTGTTCAATATTGTTGACAACTGTGAACAGAGTGGTTAGGGGCCGACCATTTAACTTTTGAGGGAGGGGGGGGGGTGATTTACTGCTGGCATGGAATTTTTTTTCTGGGATCGTTATGTGCAAGATATTTTTTTTATCACCATCACCATGTACGATTTTTTTTTTGCCACACTTTCTTTCGCAGCATTTTTTTTTTTCAATAGCTTATACTATTTAGATTATAGTTAACGTTGAGTTTTTTAGCTTCATGCATTGCTCTTAATAATACATTTTGCTATGAGGTATAACATTTGGTTCAGTGCCTTTTTTAAGGATGTGCAACTGGAAAAGTTCCAGTCGGCAAGTCTGTATCCAGGGCCGTAGCTAGCATGTATAGTTGGGGGGGGGGGAGGGGGTGTAGGCCAAAAATTTCCGAATGACGAAAATAATTTCCGAATATATCATGGCATACTATTAGCCATGAAGGTGTTTGCTATTCGGAAAATGAAGACGCAATTTACAATTATCAAAAATATGCATAATTTACGCACAGACATATTACAGAAGCAGTGCGGTAGGGAGCTTTTGTTTATTGGGGGCAGAAA